ACGCCATTTTTTAACCATGGGTGCATAATCGATCAAGTGCCCCGCGACAATGGTAAATTTAATAAAAATAAAAAGAAGGGGATCAAGATGAGATCCGTTTTAGTAGACGTAGAAATATGCAAAAGGACGGTAATTCTCAATCGGGATGCGTAAACGATGTTTCCGAAGCGTAAACGTTTTGGCAGCGCGTACGCAAGTAAGTGATCAAATTGATAATCGGCCGTCGTTGAGCTTACGTCAGCGTCAGTTTCCCGTTCAAAAATTACTAAACGATATGTCTAATCTTGACAAGATCGTAGTCCAGCCGAGCACTTTATTCGGTTTTTCGCCGATAATAAATAAATTGGACTTATCTCCGATTGATTGAATACATTCAAATTTGTTGACTCAAATCGCTTTTTACGTAAATAATTTAATTTGAAAGTTTTAGGAAAAATGCATCAAAGCTACTGCCTCTGGCTATAAAAGACACGTTCACATGTAATTTAAGAATATAATATGGTTTCGAGAGAGAGAGTGGCCAAATATTCGTTGGGAGCTTAATTTGAAGAGTTTTTATAATACGTAATAATTTATGTGTACAATATATGCATATCTATATAAACAGACATACATATATAATAAATGGTTCGCTGTTCGGTTGATTTGGATCGGTTCATTTTGCCTTACTTGCTTCGTCAATTTACCGATAATGCACATGCTTTTAAAAAATGCTTTACTGCTTGCTAGTTGCTTTTGTTAGTTAACAGGTTGGCTTTCGATCTACTAAAGCTGTAGTACTGTAATAATGACTATTACATTCAACTATCGTGCTCACACTGGCTAACCAACCACACTAGCCAATCCAGCCAGCTGGATTGCCTGCTCGTATAAACAACAATACTTTCACTTCTTGGCATTTTTTAGTAATAATCAACGCTATACTAGAGCTGGTGCTGGTGCTGGTGCTGCTACACTACACTACACTACACTACACTGCACTATTGCTGTTTTTATTTTTAATGCATTATATGTCTATTTAATTTTTTGCCATTTCTGTGATCATTTGTTGTTTTATATACGTCTGAAATATATTTAGTGCGCTGTTTATTTCAACGACAACAACAACAATAATAATAATAATATAAAGTCGAAAGAAAAAAAAAAAAAAAAAAAAAAAAGAAGAAAATCAGAAACAATCATGCAAGGCTTCAATAACGATTTACTTTAGCGAGTTTTGGGTGTGATGGTGACAGGCGAATAAACATTTTTCTTCTTCTCTTTATCT